ATCCTCTCCCATCTTGTGTTTTACCATGCCATTTTTACTGCCGTCTCAGAACGGGCCATTTGATTCTTCAAGACTTCATGATCCTTCTGACCTCATGACCTCGGTGATTGTCCCTCCTCTGTTCGCACATACTGCTCTCAAATGAAGAACAATAAGTTACATATATTATCTAACTAATACTTCAAAATAACTAGTTGGGTTTTATTATGGTAGTCTTGTAGTTTAAAAAAATTAAGTAGTTGCTTGAAATCAGACGTGGAAGATATGTATATATGGCAGCAAAGTAAACCCAATGCTTTCTGCCTTGAAAGCTTGTACTAATAATAAATTATGAAAGCTTCTAAGAAATGATATGTTCTCTGCTATAATATGTAATATAATATAATCTGGTGGAGAAGCCCAGAAACTCAAGATACTTCTGGAATGGAAGAGCAGCAGCCAGCTAAAAGCTAGCAAAGAAGTAGCAGACTTGATCATCATGAATTGTGCTCAAAATAAACATAAACTTGGAAGGCAGTCCTGCAAAGCAGGCGGACAAGATCCTACCCTATCATACCTTGAACATTTAGAACATTTTAAAAAAATGAATCCACCTAGGCCATCCATCCTTCAGCTTCTAAATAAGGAAAGAGGCAATCAAAGGTGTTTTTGCTTTCAAGTTTGTCATCATGTGCTATGGAGCAAAAGGAAACTGTCACAAGTACTTTCTGCTGAACAGCACTAGGAACTATTGATAGCTTTTTCTTCTTTTTGTAGCTGATGGGCTCAAGCACACCATTTTTATTCCTTTGGCTTATAGTTTTTGATCTGTAAAATGAGCTTTGACTAGCCTAGTTCCACATTCTACTCTAAAATCCTTTGTCACAGAAATGCGTTTTATCATCTGTGCGTATGGCGGTGTAGTCAACACCATGCCCTGTCCCTCTTTCTCTCTAGACACTCTTTTCCCTTCAATGTTTTACCAAGTTAGCTGGCCCCTAAAAGCCTCACCAGTAATGGGGTGGGAGGAGACACGGTAGCAGGAGATTGGAGTGATGGAGAGAAATGATTGAGATGGGAAGGGTGGTGGGGAGGACAGCAGAGAAGTTGAGAGAGGGGAACTGTGAACGGGATATATTATATGGAAAAAGTCCATTTTTAATAAAAGAGAAATAGAAAAATGACATCGAAGTGTTAAAAATAAAATAAAAATTTATCAAAAGTAGACAAAGAAAAGAAAAGGAAAGGAAAGGAAGGGGGAGAAATACAAGGAGTCAGGACAGAAAGGGAAACGGGAAGAGCATGACTGAAGGGAAGGAAGAGATTCTTTAAAGGTAAAAGCCTAACCGGTCCCAGGGCTTAGATAGTGGGCATGTCCGAGGCTCTAACTGAACTGTGGACCCTACTGAGAAGCGATGACATCATGAAAATGTGCTGTCATCATTAGACGGATGCATTTCTTATTTAATGGTAGCATTAGTGCAATATTTATGGGGCATGGGGGAAACTCAGAGGCAGTGCATAGGTTTGAGGAAGGAGGTCATTCAGGGTGTGCTCTACAAGGGCAGGCCTTGTCCCTCAGCCATCTTCTCCTCTCTTCTTGATGGATGCCTTGTGGTGAGCAGGTTTTCTACTTCACTTACATCTCCATGATGTTCTGCCTTTCCACAGGCTCAAAGCAATAGAGCCAGTCGGCCATGGAGAAAAGTCTCTGACAGTAAGCCAGCTTAAGCTGTCTTCCTTTCCAATCGATTCTCTCAGCCATTACAGCAGTCATCTGTCATTACAGCAGAACGTGACTGACACAGCCACTCAACAATATGGCAGCATCAATACAAATCCTATTCTTAGACAAGCAGTCTGTTTTGTAAAGTCTACGCTAGCTGAGGATGTGCAAAAGGAGACCCAAGATGGAAATGAAAGTAGCCATGTTGTTTTGGAAGTAAATGTGCACATATCGCTGTTAATAGTATGGCTGCGAGCCAGGGACCTGGATGATGGAAGAGGGCGCTGGATAGCTTAATAAGGTAAGCCCAGTCATTAGTTGTAGGTGAGAACAAAGCCACACATAGAATCTAGAGATCTGAGCTTGTTGAGCTTGGAATCAAGCAATATGCTGCTTTGCAATTCTCAAATCACTTCCAACAAAATTTCTTCTCCCCATTTCTTTACTATCCAATTCCAAGTTCAAGGATGCCTTACACAAAATTAATTCCCGAATCATAACATCCATAAATGGAGCAGTCAAAGTGTAACAAGAGAGGGAGAAGATAATGAGGCTGGAAATATTAATTTAGTCTCCCAATATTTAAGTAATTATGTGTGTGGTAGCCAGACATTGTGATGTAAATCTCATTCATTACCTGCTTTGTCTTTTCCAAGTTAAAAAAAAGTGAAGATTTAAGTTTTAAATCAGGAGATTTTAGTTAAATAGCACTGCTATTCAGTGGGTGAATATCGTAGCATTCAAAATCTCCATCCTCACTGGTAGACTAGTGGTTCAAAGCACAGGTGTGTTCATATATAGTCTCTTAAATGAAAGATCTGTTACTTAATATAATGGTTGATTTTGTATGTCTGCTTGACCTAATCTAGCATCACCTAGGAGAGAAATTTCAGCAAATAGCTGTACAGATCAGGTTAGCTTGTGGGCATGTCTGTGTCTTATTGACTGTGTTAATTTGTGCGGAAAGCCCCCATCCACTGTGAGCAGCTCCTTTGCCTATGCAGGGAACCCTGAACTGTGTAGTACTGAAAACAAGCAGAGTACTGAAAACCATGCTTTCTTCCTCTCTCTACTCTTGGGTGTGGCTGTAACTACTGGCTTCCAGTTGCAACCTCCCTGCTATGATGGACTGTGACCTGGAGAGTAAATAAACATTTCCCCACACCTTGTCTTTTGTAAGGGTAACTTATTGCAACAACAGAAAGGAAACTGGAACATTGTTTATCAGCGAGAATGCATTTATCTTAAATCAAGAGCTGAAATACTACCAGTAGCTAAGATACATTTATTTCTCTAAAAAAAAAAAAATGAACTTTGAAGTCAAACATCTCTTCTGTTATATTAAGGTTTTTTTTTTAGTGGACAAAATCTAAATATTTTCAAAATATTAACAGTCTGTGAAAATTATAGTAATTTAGAAGAAATTCAACAGGTTATAATTTTGGGGCAAGAAATACAGAGTTTTGTATACAAAAATACAATTTTTGCTTTCATATACATGGTTTGTACTCTATGTGTAATAGGGATACACTGGAATAAGCTCACCATCTCCTGGTCTGAAAATAAACAAGCACTTTCCAAACAATAAATAGAATTTACATTGTTCATCTTGAGGAATTGTTTAACTTTTGTTGTTTGGTTTTGTTTTTTAAGACAGAGTTTCTCTGTGTAGCTCTGGATGTCCTGGAACGTGCTCTGTAGACCAGGTTGGCCTCAAACTCACAGAGATCCACCTGTCTCTACCTCCCGAGTACAGGCACTAAAGGCGTGCACCACCACCCAATTAATGTAATTCTTTAAAAGAGATTTATTTCATTTTGAATTATGTGCATATGTGCAAGTGTGAGTGTGTGAATGAGTGAGTGTTTGAGTGTGTGTGTGAGTGTGTGTGTGGCCGCAGCATGTAGAAGAGCATGTCATTTCTCCTGCAGCTAGAATTACAGGCACCTGTGAGCGTCCTGAAATAGGTGCTAGGAACTCAACACAGGTCTCTGTGTGGCAATAAGTGCTTTTAACTGCTTAACCATCACCCCAACCACAGACTGCATAGCTTCTACAGGCTTTGTATCTTCCATGAATCTCAAGTAGTAACTGTCTACATGATCTAGAAGACAACCGTCTCCATCCTTAGTCTGTCTTGATACTGAGTTGATCTTCCTTCGTACATCTTTCAAATCAAGACTGAACTTTAGTGAAAACCACGTGATGTTTTTAAACTGGTATCATTAGTCATTATAGACCATACCTTTTAAGCATTCTAGAATTTTTTATCAATTGTTAAGAAGTTCAAAGCTCAAAATAACTGTCAGCCCTGGGTAATAAACAATGCTGAACATGCAACCTGAAGTAAAATGAAGTAATTCAACTAAACCAAATTTAGGCATTGTTATTTAATCTTCACAAGTCAGTATGATATAACCATGATGTAAGCTGTTGTCATGACCTGAGGATGTAATTCTGGGGATTTAGATCAGCATCACCTAAAACACAAACCTTGCTTTAGCATTTCAAATGGTTTGTGTGAATTGCTATACTGGTGAAATAATGAGTTCTAGTTCACAAGCATGGAAGGGAGAAAATGACCGAAGTGCTAATTAAATCTGAAGTGCCTAAATTCCCGGAATGATAAATACATTGGGGAATGTGGTAATTCCAAATGCCAACCTCATTTGCACTGAACTTCTAAAACTTTTAATAATGCTTTAATTTTTCACCTTTATAGAAAACTGAAGACTCACTTTTTTCAAAGGTCATGCAGGAGCCCAATTGTAGACTGGAGCATCACATCCCTGTGCTTCCGAGTCTAGTGTGAGCAGCCTGGTTAGCAGGCCACATCCTGCTCACCCAGCGTGGTGCTGGGGAAGCCACTAATCACCTCTCAGCAGCACACAGTTAATTTGCTGTCTGTACTTTGTCTTCTTCCGTGTTTGCATGCTGTTTCTCTTTCTGTTTGATTTTTGAGGTCACTTTTGGGATAAGGTAGAATACCTTAGCTTGGTAATAAAATGTGCCTAAGTGATATTAGAGCATCAGGTAATAATAGCTGAATTTGGGGTCACCTTTCTCCACCACTTTAAAATTAACTGTCAAAAACTATCCCCAAAAAAAGTAACTTAAAAAGTTTCTTCATCTTTTGGATAAAACAAGATATTAAGTGTATTTATTACATCAAATCTTGAAGAGGAGAAAGCATCTACCACTTCATATTTTCAATAGGGCTCCTTCGTCTTACTTATTATCTATCACCTTAGAGGAGGGTTGGACTCCCTTGGAAGTTCTTCCCATTTATTTTGCGATGAAGCAGGAACAAACCTTTTTAATACTTTTCAGAATAGCTATTCTTCCAGACGGAAGCCTGCGTATCCTAAATGCTTCTAAATCAGATGAAGGAAAGTACATTTGCCAAGGAGAGAACATCTTCGGCTCTGCAGAGATTATAGCTTCACTGTCTGTCAAAGGTAAGATAACAGGTAACATGCCTGATGTTCCACAGTCGTGTCTTCCTAGCCTCGGCATCAGGGGAAGAAAACTAAATGCAATTGCATGTATATGTGTTCGCATTGATTGACGTGAATGTCTTGGTTTAAAAGTTTGTTAAAAACACAGAACTAACACAACCAAATTTTCACTTTCATCACTTAAAGAATTAAAACAAAACAAGGAATGGTGGCTCGCACCTACAACACCAGCATTTGGGCCGACATTGCTTAGCTATAAAAATTTGGTGAAATGGCAAGCAGAGAGATGGTCCAGCAGTTAAGAGCATTTATTGCTCTTGTAGGGGACCCAGGTCCTATTTCCAGCATCAAGTCAGGACACACACACACACACACACACACACACACACACACACAGAGAGAGAGAGAGAGAGAGAGAGAGAGAGAGAGAGAGAGAGAGAGGGGGGGGGCAAGAGAATTACTGTAACTTTAAAGCCAGATTGAGCTAAAGTGGAAAAACATGTCACAAAATATAAATAAATGAACACACAAAAACCAAAAGGAGTTCACTATTTGTAGAAATTTCAGTATCTTCCTTAGAACAAAATTAATAAAAGAATAAAAATGTTTATGAATTTTGTTCACTATAGCAAAATTTAAAAAATGTTAAAAAAATAAAAATTTGCTTTACTACCTGTACTAGGGTAGCCCCATGACAGAGCAATTGCTTCATATGCCTGGTGCCTTGCATTCATTCTCTAACATTTCCCCTCTATCAGAAATAAGTTTAGCAACAACTAAAAATGTGCATTTGTCGTTACTTTACCCAGGGATTGGGGCAGAGTAGGGTAACAATAAGAGACCCCATCCCAGTGAGTGAAGGCATGCACCTAATGTCACCCGTGCCACAGCTGTTCAGAGATATTCACGGCTACAAGTCTTCAGCGCCTTCATTTCTGTGTAAAGTCAATCCTACTGACTATAGGTTTACTAATTTCTTAGGTCTAAATGAACTTTATTTCAGGTCAATGACATTGTTTGAAACGATTTAGCTATTTTTAAAAATGGAAGTGGGGGCTGGAGAGACAGAACAGCAATTAAGAGCTTTTGCTACTCTTGCAAAGTTCCTGGGAGCCATGTTCAGTGACTGCTAACTCCAGCTCTGATGTCCTCTTGAGGTCTCCATGGGCAACTTAACTAACAAGCACACAGAGGGTAAACATCAAAATAGAATCTTTAAAACAGTTTTTAAACTCTTATTTTAGGTAGCAAAATCCCATCAATTAACAAAGTGGTTTTTTAACAACTGAATTATGAAGTAACTGTTTCTTCATTATACATCTATTACACAGAAGTCATACTTGGCCTTCAAAAACAGGGGAAAAGTTTAGGTTTGGACAACTGAGACGAGTTTTGGAGATGGCTAGCGTGACTCACAACTGGTATTATAATTAATGCTAACAGACTGTTCACTGGAGATACAATTTGGTTCACCTTGTTCTACCTTAGAAATAAAACCATTACTCAAATAGTCAAAACTACAATAGGAGAAAAGGCGAACATCAAGGTAAGAACAGAATATAATGTTTTCAAATATTTCTATGCTTATCAAACATTACTGACATTCAACCTAGTGACCCAGTCTTTGTCCTAGTCTCCCTGTATACTAGACTATCTTCTGACCACATGGTGATGAAACCAGAAACTTCTTTATCAATGATAAATATTCTCCCGTAACTGTGAATGAAACAGGAAATAGGGTTGTTCAAAAAATGTTATCCCCACAAACCTTCAACTACTATACACTGCCTGTGCTGTCTGACGAAGCCATAACTTAGACTATCAAACATGGCATAACCTCAAGAGGATTCAGCTTTAGAGAGTCACTCTTGCCTGCAGCCTGCGCTTTTCTCAAAACTGCTCTCAAGGGTGCTAGGTATGAAAAGACGCCTCAGACAGCTAGAAGTATTGTTTTCTTGTGGGAGGATTCACTCACAAGCGATAGAGTTTAGAAGAAAATAAAGTTCTTGCTAAGTCCCATGCCTGTCTTCCTTCCCTGCTTGTACCTAAGACTGTTGGAGGACAGAGCAAACAAAAACCTCTCTACTTTATTCATGACACATCACAGTCATTTAATCTTAATCATTCGGATCATGATCAATGCCATTTTATTGGTTCAACGTTCCTCTGAGTCTATAAAATAATCTTAAAAATTTCAGTTTTGAAATTCAGTTGTTGTCAGTAAGCAGTTAGGATATTCTTGCTGCAGTAAAATCATGACCACTCAGCTCATTAAAGGTTTTATATAGTTAAACCAGCCACAAAGTACCAAAAATTATATTTCATTATTATACAACTAGTTCCTCTTCTATGCCTTCTCCCAGTTCATAGTGGGTTTTGTCCAGCAAAAAGCAAGTCGAATACTTCATTGGGAGAATAATTTGGAGGGAGTTCAGATGCCAAATCTATAGTATTTCAGCCTTTGATAATACAGTTGAAGACACAAATCAAAATCTCGTGCATGTGTCTGAAGCACCTGTACATGTTCCATGTGTAAGTTTTCTCTACAGTTTGTGATGTGAAGTGTTAGGAGGTGATTATACTAACGCATGTGTTTTTACCCCAATAGAACCGACAAGGATAGAGCTTACTCCTAAGAGAACAGAGTTAACGGTTGGGGAGAGTATTGTCCTCAGCTGCAAAGCCATTCACGACTCCAGTTTGGAAGTCACTTTCTACTGGACACTAAAAGGACAGCCTATTGACTTTGAGAAAGAAGGAGGACATTTTGAAAACATCAGGGCTGTAAGTTTATAGACTTTTTCTTCTTGAGTAGTAATTGCATGTGTTTTGACTCAAATGTAAAAACGTTTTATCTATAAAGTGCCAAAAAGAGCATAGAGAAAACCCCATGTGATTAAAACAATTACTTTTTTCTACTGTTTTATGTCATGTAAAGCTGAAAATATTATTTCAATTCCCAGGAGGAACTTTCCAAATCATTAGTATGTGAGTCTGGTTTCCTCACCTTTGCTAAATTAGTTTAGTGATAGCTTAAATGTTTCCATGTTGTTTCTAAAAGTCATATTGCTAAATAAGTAACTACTCTACTATTTAAATATTTGTTTGCTGTAACTATAATAAAATAAATGAGTCTTCCCTGTTCTTACAAAGTAGTGAAAATTTTGGAGGCTCACCAGTTTGTCAGAAGCTATAAGGTTAAACCCATAACACATAGTCATACATGTTCACTAGCTTTCAATCAACATTCATGGACATATATCTTTCTTGTCTGTCCAATCTTTGTATTTTAGTTACATTGAATATTAAGTATTTGAGAGTAATCAATCAAATAGAGTGATAAATTATGTGTCCTGCATAGTACAGTCCACCTCGGTTTTTGAACTGCATAAAGAAGTAAGAGAGCGAGAAAGGCCAGGGAGCAAATGGTAAGGGCGGTGATATGGGCCACAATTTTCTTTCTATATTGACTAACAACTTTGGCCCAACTACACTTTTCTCTAAAAATGTAATATTAAATGTTATTCTTAATATTAGGGTATTGTTTCTCTAAAAATACTTTGAGAAAGATTAGAAAGTAAAAATGATAAGAAGTCCAAACGGTGAAAGCCACCTTGCATTGGACTTACCTTAAACTAATTCTGTGATATCATGGAAGGGAAAGGTCTTAAAGCTAATGTTAGTAATTCCTTGGACGAAGCTCAACTCCATCCCTTGTAAACCACAGGTGTTTCCTAGAGCCGTCTTCTTACAATAGGAAGTAAAATTCTGGACCAGATAATTTCTGCAATTCTTCTCAACTTAAATTCCAATCAAATCCTTTCCTTTAGAAAGGGGAAAATGAACTTTATTGCATTTGCCAATATGACATAAATTGAACACTTTCTTCCAAATTACCCAGTTTGCTTTGCACCTAAGAGAGGAGACTATGTCAGAAGCACATTCTAGCTGAATTTTTCATTGTCTTACTGAGTGACCAGTTGTAGTTGGTTAAGTTGTATATAAAATATTTAAATTGTACCAAGTTCATTTTTTTTACAACTTGGGTGGGATTTCTCTTCCTCTGATTTGACTTAATTATACACTGATAGGGTTTTTTTAATCACATCATTAAATAGAACTCAACTATTACCTACACAAAAAAAACTGATAAAATATGTTTTCTCAGGATTAGCTGCAAATATTCACTTTAACAATAATCATATAGAGTAAAATATATCTGAAATGATCAATGACTTTCTATATAGAAGCATGCCCTACATTTTTACATAACAATAAGTAAATTGATGGACTTGAAAATGTTATAAGATAAAAGAATTTTGGGTGCTGCCTCTTAAGTATGACCATTTTGGGCTGATATCATTTCTATAAATTAATATCTTTGGTGTTTCTCATGAATGCCTGATCCACGCTCTTTGTGTGTGTGCACGATCTTTTCCTTAAGAGATGCAAAACTGGCCCCTTGTTCTATGCCAGCCTTGTGCACAGTCACAAGCCATATTATAATTAATCTTTGGAGTGAAAGAAATCTCTAGTTTTAAGGAAGTGTAAGACTTGTGTTTAACATATTTGAAATGATTTCTAGAAATAGGTGTGTACTTAAGATATTTTGTAGACTCAAAGCTGTGACATGTAAAAGGTGTTGCTCACCACAAATCTCTCGAGTATTGCAAACCCTGGTTTGTGTTAAGGATATAGGCTGCATGAGGTTCCCCATTGCCCCTGCTTCCCTGCAGGTTTATATCTGGACAGCACTGGTGCTTTGGAGTGATTTGAAATGCCATCAGTAAGAAGGCTTTGAGAGGTCCTGTGAGCTGTTGCAGACCTTTCTCAGAGAGACTGGTGGGGAGGCCCTGGAAGCCAGGGATGCAGGAAGAAGAGTGTGGTTGCTACGTCTGCTCTGAATACCAAAGCCTAGGCATAGAGATGATCTGGACATAGAACGTTAAGGATCCTTAGGAAAGGCAAGTGGTACCTGGAAGGACACAGAGCAAGTCCTTGACTGAAGCTCTGTGTGCTGCTACCTGCACCTGCTGCTACTACCTGCTAGTGCTGCCAATGGGTGACTGAAGGGCAGGGCTGAGGGCAGTGAGTTAGAAAGGAAGGGGAGAGTGCCTTAGTATATTTCCACTCACAAGGATAAAGTGAGGCAGACAAACCTCAGGCTGAAGAGTGGGGAGATCTCACCGATAATCTTTAGCATCTCCACTGATACAAAATACATCCTAATAGTGATATTAACTCTTCAACTCATTTATTTATGAGTTCTGCATTTTTATATGAATTTGTAGCTAAATCCTTGTGTAGGACTTTTGGAAATATCTACATATATTGTACATGTCATGTCTTACATAAACAGTGACTTTAAGACTGCATTTCAAAAGAATAAATGGAAAAACGATGGAATTGTTCTAATTCCTTAAAAAACAACAGGATTGCTCTGGCAGCAATGGAATCCTTCTGTTTTGCTTGGTTTCTTTCCTGAGGCCTTGTTTTACAAACCTGGTAAGCTGGCTGATTTGGGGTGAGTCTATTACCAAAGACATCACTAGAAGGGGCCAGTCTTTTCATAAATATTTCATCAAATTCTACTCAATTCCTTTTGACTAATGATATAAGTAAACAGAATGGGGCAAATAAGTAAATTTATTCTTAAAAAGTATTCAATACTAAGTGATGTTGTTAACCTATAGTTAAAATATAACCCTTCACCCCTAAGAGAGCACAGTGCAAGAACATAGAGAAAAATCGGTCTTGTATAACATGGTGATTTAAGAATGCAGCTTCCAGAAGGAGTTGTTATCTGAAAAGCTGTTGGGTGGGCAGGGTTTCACCAGGTGTCTACAGAAAACTGCATCATTTCAAAGAGCAAACAAATCAAGCAGCATCTAAGAGGCAGAATGGGTTATACTTTGCTCCATGTCTTCGGAGCAAAGAAGAACCAGTTATCTACACAGCACAGCGAGGGTTCGTAGTAGAAAAGAAATTACTCATTGAGTAATGTTAAGAGAAAGTAGCAAAGTCAACATTGTTTAGGACATCAATCACATTTTTAAAAAAAATAGAGGGAGGTAGGATATAGCCTTAATTCTAATTTTAAGGGGGAAATAAAGAAATTGAGGAGTCACATTTTTCTAGGCTACATAAGTGAATTCTAAATTGGTTAGAAGTTTAAAAGGCTGTAGACTTAAAAAACATAGTATATTAACTCTAAAGTTTATCCTTATTGTATTCTTTGTCTGACTAATATGTTCCCAACCTTTGTCTAAAACTCATGAGAAATGAAAATAGAATCATTGATCCCTGCTTTAACAAGTACACAGATTGTGCAGGTTATTAAGTAACTCAAGAAAAATATGACTATAAAATAAACAAAGAAAAAATGTGACTGGGGTGGAGGCATATATACATATACATACATACATACATACATATATATATATATATATATATATATATATATATATATAATCCTGGCACTTAGGAATTGGGACTGGATGATTGCAAATTGGATGCCTGCCTGCATTTAATGAGATGTTATTTGAAGAATTGAAAGAAAATTAACTGCTAATTTTTGTAATAGTCAAATGTTGGTGGAAAAGTCAAGAAAGAGGAATATGATCCTTTCTTCTAGAGATAAACAAGAAAATGACTACCTATTGTTTACCAATCACTAAGACACACAGACACTCTTGATTCTCATAACATCCATATTAATTTATATTATTTGATGAATCATGTTGCCTATTCTACATGATACAGAAGTTATAGGGCAGCATTAGGATAGACAAAAAGAGAAAAAGAAAATCAAGGTTGGAAAAGGGATTCTGCATCTCAGTGTTGAGCAAGGACTTAGAGTTGACCCAAGTGGTCCCTGGCTCCGCTTTGGGTGTTAGTGTTTGCAGTGGCTCTTCAACAATAAGGAACTCACACACTTCCAGAGTCAATTCCATTACCAGTCAGAAAACTGGAGAGAATTTACCTTGTTTTTTAGTATACTTTTTCTTTCATTTTTAAAAGCAGTTCTTTGAGAATTTCATACAGCATCTTTTGTTCATATTAACTCCCTCTCCTGATTCCTCCTAGATCCAATCCTTTCCCTACACAGTCAACTGGGTATTCTCTCTTGGTTTTTTTTTTCTTTTTAACTCATTAAGTCCCATCTGTGATGCCTATATATTCTTAAGTGTGTGGCCTTCCTCTGAAGTATAGTCGACTCCATTTCCCGCAGCTACATATTGCCAATAGCTCCTTAGCTAGGAGTGGTACTGGGACAAGTGATTTTATAACCCATTTCCCAAGTCTGAGAATCATAAGCATGCCTAATTTATATCCATGAGTTCTGCAGAGTTGTAGGTGAATAAAACGCCATAATATAAAAACCTTTAGTGTCTAGAGAATTTTGCCTCAGATGAAAAGTTCCCACCATGTCCATTTCCCTGGGACAAAAGCCTCTGCTCCTTGTCTGTCTTTGGGAAATGAGTATCTTAACTAAGGAGTGAAAGTTTCAGAACAGAATGATTTCTTGATTGGACCATTCCATTTCTGGGAAGTATAACTGGAGTTAAAGTCAATGAACTCCTCAGACACGCTGTTCAGGACAGCAGGGTATTAGGAGAGACTTCAGGCTTCTGCTGGAGCCTCTTCATTAGATCAGCATGCAGGAGTTTTGGAGGACTGCATCCCTAATCAGCACACTGATCAGCTGGAGCACATCAGTACAAGACACCCATTTTCTCTGACTCATTCTAGCCATTAGGAATATTCACACTTACAAATTAATC